TGGCTATAAAGAACTCTGTGCATGCTCTAAAGCTATGAAGTTAACATTGCCAATTTAGATAATGATTCATTGCCAGTTTAGATATTGATCCCTTCAATATCTTCAAGTGCAGGTCCATCCCATAGATCAGTGTTTCTCAACCTTGGCAACTTTAAGATAGATGAATTTGAACTCCCAGAATTCCCCAGCCATCCATGCTGGCTGAGGAATTCTGGGAGTTGAAGTCCACCTAGCTTAGTTGCTAAGGTTGAGAAACACTGCCATAGACAGAACCCATCATTACGGAATGATGCAGACATTTAATTATATCATTTATGTAAGAAAGTTCAAACAATAATAATGTGAATCTTCTTGAGATGTTCTACCTGTGTGACACTAGGCAAGCTGTTTGTTAAAACAATACTAAATTCTGTGAGGCTTTCAGAAATACGTGTGCGTGCGTGTGCATGTAAGCATATTGGAATATTTTCATTATGTTGAAATACCTAAATAATTTATTTTTGGAGTGGGACCTAGTTGTTGTATCCAGTGGAATGGATATGATTGACCAAATATTTATTTATTTAAATGTGTATAGCTGCCCATCTAGCCAGGGATTTTTTTCCTTTTTATTATATTGTTGTAAATCTTGATACATTATGTTGTGTCAATACAATATTTATACAATATTAATTAAAATTATTGAAATTCTATTATTTAGTAACTTAGAGTATTTAAGATAAAGAAAAATACATTATGTTGTGTCAATACAATATTTATACAATATTAATTAAAATTATTGAAATTCTATTATTTAGTAACTTAGAGTATTTAAGATAAAGAAAAGAGAAATATTCTACCAATATTAATTACAATTTAGGATATCAATATTACAAACAAAATTATTTGACTTTTTCATCCAAAATTAAGTATAACATTAGAAAAAATAACCTGCTGCAGATTGTATCAAAGTATTTGTTATACAACAAAAGTTTCAGTCTCAAGCTGATTGCTTAGTGTTAAAGTCTCCATTGTGTAGTATTTGTATGTATGTATGTATGTTTGTATATATTAAAAAATCCCCTCTCACCCCTATAGGTGGTATGTGTCTTCTTCAATCTTGGTTCCTTTACCAGAGGCCTAGGAGTGTGAGGGTTCTGCGCAGTATCTG